CAATATAACCATCACTCTAGAAACTCTTACATCTCTTCCATACCTTGTAATAGTAAAACACTTTCTAGGCTCTTTATGGTTTTTATTTTACTTTTTTTTCATTATAGTTATTGTGTATGTATGTATCCCTAAACAAATATAACTGGTGGGTTTTTAATTTATATAATCGTCAGTATGCATTGTTTTATGTTTTTTTCACTCAACATTATATCTAAGATATATCTATGTTACTACTATATCTGTATTTCATTTTTGATACAATGCATTTCATACTATGACTAAATACAATTTGTTATACATTCTACTGAAGATAGATTTTGTGTTATTTCCAGTATTTCACAATTCCAAATCAAACTTACTCCCATATTTCCTCTTGGAATTCTAATGTATTTCGTTTTTGGTTACTGTCTCTTAGATCTCTCATGTTTTTTGAATTTGTTTATTTTTTCATAGAACATTTTACATTGTTTCTTATGTTACTGATACTTTGTGTCTGCTACTATTTTAAGTAGCTATTTGAGCTATATGGGAGGTCTGTGTTTCTTGGGGTTTATGCCTTTTGTTTGTTTCTTTCCTGTGTTCGATCATCTACTCACCTTTAGCCATGTTTTATATCTGATAACCATGGGGGTCCAGCCTGTCTCTTGAAGATTTGTTTCTTTTGCTTCTGTAAGGTGTTTTGGGTTATCATTTGGCTTCAAGTCCCTATATCATACTGCTGGGTCAATTTGAGATTCAAATTCCTGAATGCAGCTATAAAGTAACTAATTATCAGGAAAGATTACCTTTCCTCATGCTCAGCGCCTTAACCACAACAAGGTGGGATGTTTTGTTTTTGCTTTTCTGTCTGGGTTTAACAGTGGTGAAGTCTGTCTTGCTTTCGTTCTTACCTCTGCTTCCCTTTTTCTCTTTCTCCCCTTCCCCTATCTCTCCATTTCTTTCTCTTTCTTATTTTTAATGTTTCACACTACTGAAGGCATAGCAGTGGGAAAATCTGACTTTATGTGGCTATCTTAACTTCAGATACCTGCCTGTTGCAGGCCCAAAGACTTAGTTTTTTCCCCCAAGAGGGCTTTGACACTTGATATACTTGGTTGACCAGAGTGGGCGGCCTCTTTTAGGCCTGCAGCATAGTGTAGAACATTAATCCTCATATACATTTCCCTCTGGTTTTAGAGTTCTTTCTGTTTTGGGCTATGTATTTATTTAACCAGATCAATTCTTTATTTATAAGAAAGTTTGATTTATTATAGTCAACATCTTGTTTATTTTATAGAAGAAGGTTTTCGGTTTATCTAGTCTGCTACTTTATTGACATTGTTTACCAGACTCCATCATATTCTAGTTTTTCTAGTTCCTTTCTGTGTAAGTCTTTGGTTGTCAGAAGCCGAAATATATTTAAGCAAAAGAGGGATTTCTTAACTCTTATAACTGAGAAATATAGGGCTTTTCTGGTTTCTGGTATGCACAGTGTAGAGCTTAAGCAATGTCAACAGGGCCCTCTCCCTCTTTCTGCCTTGACCTTACTTTTTTTCAGTGTCGGATTTGATTTTCAGACTTGATTTTCCATGTAGATGAGGAAAGTAATTTCTAGGATTTGGTATCCTTTCAGCTTATGGTCTTCTTGTGTTACATAGCATTGTACTGCCATCCTAGGAAATAACTTTTTACCTAGTTGGTGCACATTACTCTTCTGAACTGGTTACTGTGGCCAATGAGCTGTATATTCCAGTTAGTCAGGTTTAGTCATGTCCCCAACTCTGAGATGTAAGGGTAGGTGTACTGTGTTACACAGCCCTACTAAGTTCACATGGGTAGCAGGAGGTTTAGTTCCTCAAAGGAAAAGCCAGACAGTTCTCAGTGAATAGAAAAGAGTGCTAGGAGGGCAGGTATCCTGTATGTGCAATATGCATTTTTTAGCAGCTCCTTAGGCCTCTGGTCAGAAATTTAAATGAAGATATAAGACTCCTGTAATTTCAAGACTATCACTATCTGTGATTGATCATTCTTTTCAACCCTGAGTAGATTAATCAGTAGTAACATACTCAACAAGATCCCTTTGCCTCCTTTATCAAGTCCTAACAGTTTCACTTTCTGAAATCTCTGGAATCTGCTCATTTTTCTTTATTTGCCACTGATAGTCTAGTCCAAGCTGTGGTCCTCTTTTTTCTGATCTATCAAAATTAAATCCTTACTGATCAGTTAGTATCTACTCTGGGTCCCCTTCAGTCTGTTCTCCACACTGTGGTGTAGTGATCTGTTAAGAATACAAATCTAATTATGTGTTTCCTATCCTTCAACTACACCTCAAGTTTTCAAAACCTTTCATCAGGCAGAAGTTATTAGCTAGATTTGCATCTGGCCCATCATCACTTCTCTGACTATTCTTGCTCAGTAATTCCCTTTTTATATAAATTAAATTATATATTCTCTTATTACTGTCTACCTTTCCCCTTTACATTTATTATAATTACAGTTCTGCACTTGTATATGAATATTTGGTGAATGTCCGATTTCTCCATTAGACTATGAAAGCAGATGTCTGTTTTCCATTATTTTTTAATTTCACTAGCTAGAATATGGCTTGGCTTACAGTAGAAAATAAATATTTATTTCATTAATTAACTGATTGATTACTATAAAGAGACCTCCATGGTAACTAGGACAATTTATTTGTTCAACCTCCATCTCCAAGAACTTTCTAGTCAATTGATTTTGGATTTAGGCTTTCCAATATAATTTGACTTGGTAGTTTATGGAGAATATTATATAGCTATCAAATGCAAGTGTGGGGTGTTTTGAGTATATGTCAACATATAATCATGTGAAATCATGTGAAATCATGTGAAAGGCTATAAAGTAATAGGGCTATACTGATTGAAATCAGCAAAGAGCAGCCCTTTGAACTGGTTGGATATCTCTTTTCCCATTCGAACCCAAATAAGTTATTTATCTAGTTGAAACTAATTTTTCTTCTGTGCTTTTCTGCTTACATCTGTTGGGCTTGTTATTATGTTTGCTGATGTGGCTACTTGCTTTTAGACAAGAAGCAGGAAGTTTCTACCAACTTCTACCTCAGGAAGCAAAGACACTTGCCCATAGGAGTACTGCACTAAATGGACCAGTGTGAGGGCAGGGCAGCTTCTCCACAGGCTCAGGCTCCACACTACTAAGAAAAGTCTGCTGTAGGGTGGGAAGAAAGGCTTTTCTTACCCCTTCTTCTATAACAGGACTGGACCTCTTCTTTTGTGTAGACTTTCTTTAGTTTTTTCTTGCCTTGGGTATGGATAATCCATCCCTCCTGGATTTCCTTTGGGATTACCGCATGAGTGACAGTGAAATGACTTTACATGTATAAAGGTGAAAGGGTAAAAATTACTTGATACAAATAAATTTTGTTTCTTTGGAAAGAGGTCTGCGTTCATATTTTATATCTAATATTAACTAACCCTGAAGTAATAATTTCTTCAAATGGTTGATAGCATGCTGACATAAAAATTCTTGGAGAATGGTTAAAAAAGTTGTGCATGAGTTGGCTCACCTGTAAAGTAGAATTGATATATATTGTGATAAATTTGCCATTTTTTTTACATCTGTCATGTGAAAAAGAGGAAAGCTGATGGAGTTAGGAGAAAAGAGAAGGAGAAATGTTAAGAGTAGTCATAAGAGGATAGCATCTGATGAACATACTGAAAATATACTGGAAGAATTGATATTGTTCTCCATCTGTTAGCTGTGGAAACTGAATCATAATCAATACTAGCTCCACCTTTCTTCCTTTCATTTTCCTTTAAACATACTACTGATGCTTGACACAATGCCTTGCAAATTCTAGCTTCATGATAAATAATTATTGGTTAGTGGAATGATTGAATGGATGAAGAGGGAAGAGATGAATGACAAGATTCTAGACTTTCACAGTACAAATAAATACACACATTGACTTATCAAGGTTTGAAAACCATAACTTTTAAATAATTTAGGTAAAATAGATGAAAGGACTGATTTGATCTAAAAATTTGAACAGTGGAATTATTAGAAGTTGGATTACTATATCTAAAATGCAGGGGAGCACCTGGCTGGCCCAGTTGGTAAAGCATGTGATTCTTGATCTTGGGGTTGTAAGTTCGAGCCCCAGGTTGGCTGTGGAGCCTATCTAAAGAATAAATAAGAAATTTTTTAAAAAATATTTTATTTATTTATTCATGAGAGACAGAGAGAGAGAGAGAGGCAGAGACACAGGCAGAGGGAGAAGCAGGCTCCATGCAGGGAGCCTGATGTGGGACTCGATCCTGAGTTTCCAGGATCACACCCTGGGTTGAAGGCGGCGCTAAACTGCTGAGCCACCTGGGCTGCCTGATAAGAAATTTTTTAAAATGCAAGTGGCAAATAATAAAATGAAGTGAAATAACTTGAAATGAGATTTATAGGAGATACATATTCTTTAATGTAGGGATGATTCATCGGCAGGTTCAGAAGGTGATTTTTAAAAGAGTTTATCCTCATTTTCACTTGATTTAGAATTTTGCCATATAGAAATTGTTTTGAACTTTCTAGTTAAGATGAATCAGATTTCATTTCTGAATTGTCATAGACTTTAATTTTGTAAAATTATATCAGTAGGTTTTACTATTTATCATATACTGGGTTTAATGCTGCATATCTAGAAAATATTTTCCCCTACATTTGGATCTGTGTGATTAGTATCTGTTGGTTTCCATGTTTGAGTATTTGAATATGGTTTATGGCATGTGTGGGCTATGGTGCCCGATAGATTGAGTTTCAGTCCCCAATCTGCACTTCTTAGCAAATTATTCAAATTATTTTTGAACCTTAATAGGATCTTGTGTAACATGAAGATGATACCTACCAGAAGAGGTTCTTGGAGGATTTCATAAATAAGTATATGTAAAATGCTTAGCATGGTATCTGGATTATAGTAGACATTCAGTAATTGGGAATAACTGTCTCTCTCCTCCACCCTATGTTTTGTTCTGCAGCTTTTCCCACAAATAAACCAGATAATGATGCAAGACATGTAATAAAAGTGGTAAGTGTTGCTCTTAAATTTGTATTTCATGTATACTTCACTTTTTTGTTTTCCGCTTTATACCTTGTATCTTTGTAAAAACATTTTTTAACTTAGCTTTTATAATTCTACTTATTAATAAATGTAGTGTTATAGTACATTTTCACATTATTAAAATGTGGAGATTGGAGAACTGTGTTTCTCTGTGTTGGCATTTATCATCTTTGTATCCTATCTGTTACTCTCCTCTCCTGTGTTCCCTTCCTTCCTCTTTTCTCTAGATGGTAAGGTCCTTAAAGGCAAAGGTGAGGTTTTATATTGTTTATATCTCTTATGCCTAGTACAATGAAATATATATGAAATATAGTAGATACTTAGTAAAGGTATCATGTGTGAATGAACCCTGAGGGAGTTTGCAGTATATCTACCCTGATGTCCATATCGGTAGACATTGAATATCTTTCATATGTATATATAAAATTCTCAGTGCTTTTAGTAAGTTCTTTCCATTAGAAGACTACTTTCATATATAAGATTGTGTAGAGATATCATTACAGTGTATAAATTTAAACATGAGATTCTCCAAGTTTATTTAGTGCTTTTCTAAGATTTTTAATGGAAATTTGATTCCTGTTTTATAATGAATGACTCAAGCATTATTTATATACTATGAATATATACTCTTATTTTCACAGTTAAAATATGAAATCTATCTTTAAGATTTATTTTTTTCTTAATAAAAATTAATTGTTCTTTCTTTTATAGGAATATCAAGAAAATGGCCCATTATTTTCAGAACTTAAATTTTATCAAAGAGCTGCTAAAAATGACTATAGTAAGTAAATTTAGCAAAGCAAGCTACTTCCATACACACACACACACACACACACACACACACACACGTATATATATGGCTTGCTAAAGTGAATGTTAATATTTTTGTTTTTCTAGCCTTTTGGAAAATTCTTTCCTATTAGAAATTTTATTATAAAATGATACAATTAACTATTATATAAAAATAAGGTAGATGATATATAAATGTTGATATAATATACATATACTGGGTTATATATCTCAAATCAAAGTTATTTTTGCTACTTTATATATAATGTCCAGATCTTGTTGATCTAAGCTACCAGGCGTTCTCTAAGTATAAAAGGTAGTAGAATGATATCATTTCTTTCATAGGAAACATTTGGAACCAAAAGTTGTAAGGAAGAAATATTAAAATGGGTGGTAGATGTATAAACAAAAGGAGTGGACATAGAATGGATTAGTGTAAGGTGTATGGAAATGATTAAGCATTAAAATGATTTAGAACATAAGTTAAAAGTGTTAGAAACTTGAATGGTGGGAAATTAACTGGAGCTGGAAATCACAAGTAAGAAACACTAGTTAGAGGAATTGAATACAAAATGAATCTGAGCAGAGTTGAAGAACAGCAGAAGCATTTTTAAATACTGTACAATATAGGTGGACTAAGCAGAGCTTTTAGGAACTTGATATGAATAAAAAATGATAATAGTCAAGGTCTTCTACATTATATTTAAGAAAAAGAATGATGAGACTAACCTCAATAATTAACTTTGTTTTTCTTAATCAAACCTTCTAAATGTTACGACAGTAGTCTTTACTAACTGCTTAAACTATGTCAGAGTGACAAATAGAATCCATTAAACTTGATTGTTTATCGTAGAGCTGTCTTACACATTAAACGTATATGGTATAAAAGTGGAAAATAAGCTACCTGATGGTTTCAGTAGATTTGATTTTTTTTAAACTAAATTTAATCAAAGCAGTTTCTGTATAATAATTTCATAGTAAGATGATTTTTCTGCCCAATTTCTATTTTTTCAACTATCATGGCTTTAAATTTTTAAGTAATGGAAAGAAAAACACATCTCTCTACTGATTCTTTGGTAGTTAACATATGTTCTATTTTATTTTATTTTAATTTTTTGAACATATGTTGTATTTTAGAATTTAATGTATAAGGAAATGACTTTTTTTCAGGAATTAAAACACTTGTTGTATATGATACTAATGCATTTTATGACCATGACTACTTTTGTTTGGTTATAATTGCTTAAATTTAAAATTTCTATATATGTTTTTATGTTAATCACAGTGATAAATGAATTTGAAGCCACTAGGTAGATATATTTGATTCTTTAAAACATTTACTAGAAAGGTCTAATTTCTGTTTAGGTTAGCTAAGTAAGTTTAAGGATCTGTATAAAAATAAGAAATAACATTTCTAAAAATATATATATTTTTTTCCTGTTAAATTTGTCTTTGCAGTCAAAAGCTGGATAAAACTCAAAAAACTTGATTATTTAGGAATTCCTCTGTTTTATGGATCTGGTATTACTGAATTCCAGGGAAGAAGGTAAAATGAAATTATTATAATAAAATATTGTTCTATGACTATTTCTTTCTTTTTTTTTTCTATGACTATTTCTTATGTGCTCTAATACCTGTTTCTGTATAACCCAAATCATAGTACCTTACAATGACAGACTACTATCATTTTAGTTTCCATGGGTCACCAACATGGAAGTTACCCATGGAAACTATTTGTTCTCCACAGCTGATTCCAGCTGAGGACTTCTGAGGAAGTTGTCTGTTGGGTTGCAGACATCACATGATCTGACTGGGGAAGGATCTGTTTTCAAGGTCACTCATGTGGCTGTTAACAGGCCTAAGAAGATCCGCTTCTAAATACACTCATGTGATTGTTTGCATACTTCCCCTCCAGCAACCCTCAATTTGTTCTCTATAGTTAAGAGTCTCTTATGGCTTGCCTCGCTTTTTCCCCTCTTCCCCCCACATTCATCTGTTTTGTTTCTTAAATTCCATATATGAGTGAAATCAGATGGCATTTGTCTTTCTCTGACTTATTTCAAATCTTACAGTGATGTCACATATTTCCACTATAGCCTCTTTGCTAGAGGCAAGTCACTAAGTCTACTCTATACACAAGAGAGGGGATTTAATTAAGCTTTGTCTCTTGAGAAAAGGCACAACAAAGAATTTGTAGAGACATTTTTAAAAATCACCACATATGGCTAGTCATCACTTATAAATAATTGACTAATGATTTTTTAAAAAGAAAAAAATCAATTTGTTAGATACCCCATTTTGTCCTTTCAATAGCCTTTTAAGATAGGTGATGGTTTTTTTCCTAGGTGAGGAAATAAGCTCTGTGGTCAGTGCTTTGTTCAGATGGTCTTTAAATGCTATCAGTAAAAACAAAACGAACAAACAATTTTCTTTTTTTTTTTAAACAATAATTTTCAAACAAAGTAAAGGGCTGCCAATAGAGGACTGAGTGGCTGAGTGGATCATGGTATATCCATAGCATGTAATATTATGCAGCCCATTAAAGAAATTAATTAGAGCTATACCAGTTGATGTGGGGGGATGTGAGATACTAAAAGTATGATGAAGAAAAGTACATATAATAAGATCACATTTTTGTAAAACAAAGACAAAAATTCCTTTATGTGTGTGTTCATGTGTATATACATAGATGAATGTAGAATAGGGCCTGATGCAGGCATGTAAGTGAAAGGAAGAGCAGAGATGGAGGTGCCAAACAGAGAAGAAGTACATTTTTTTCATTATTGGTTTATGAGACAGAGAACATGAGTGTGGGCAGGAAGGGCAAAGGGAGAGAGAATTTGAAGCAGACTCCAGGCTGAGTATGGAGCCCAATGCCAGGTCTGATCTCACAACCCTAAGGTCATGACCAGAGCCAAAACCAAGAGTTGAACATTCAACCGACTGCACCACCCAAGTGCCCAACACATGTTTAAAAGTGTATAGAGAAAAGTCATGTTTAAAGTGTGTTTAAAGTCATATTTATAAGTGAGTAGATAAAGTAAATGATTTATAAGTTCAAAAAACAAATCTAATAAAATTTTCTGTAGGGACAAATGATTTGTTCAAGGTCTTACAGTGAGCGAATGATGGAATCAAAATGAATCAAACTCAGGACTCTTTAATTTAGAAAGACCATTCTCTTTTCATGACCCTAAGAGTGAGCATGAATGTTTCAGCACAGCATTCTCTTCCACTAGAAACTAACTGCAGAGTAAAATAGTGACTAGTATCTTTCTGTAAAAGAACGGCGAGATTATTAATGTACGTTCATTCTTTAATGGTTCCGATTGCAATATTCTTCATTGTTAGGTTGGGGGTGTTTTTCCTTGTTTCAAATTCATAAATAGGCAGTTTCAAGCATTGCTATCTTAAGATCTCTTTTTGACGTCTCCTTCTTATAGTTACAGATTTATGGTAATGGAAAGACTAGGAATAGATTTACAGAAGATCTCAGACCAGAATGGTACTTTTAAAAAGTCAACTGTCCTGCAGCTAGGTATCCGAATGGTAAGAATGAACGACTTGTTTCGCATGCCTCATTTTCAGATTATTTACTTGTTACAATATACAAATCGTTGCCCTTTGTGGAATTATCAGAGAATGAAGGATTATTGCCCTAGAAATGTCAGTTATTTAGAGTAGAGGCTATTTTGGTGAAATTGATAACAGTGGGCTCTGTAAGTGACAGAATGTGCTGTGTTTGGCACTACAAACTCAATTAGGCATTGGTTCTACAGTCTGATTTTTTTTTCCCCTCACAGCTTTGTTTTACATATCAGAACAAGCTTGCATTGCTATAAGAATAACCTCTCTTTTGTCAGTTGTATTTATAACAATGCAAACTATGGCAAAATATATTATTTTCCATACTAAATACGTGATGATATGGGGGTGCTATAAAGTTTTTATTACGAGTTTGGGATGGTGGCAGTAATTAGTATGGCAATGAATAATATATACTTTGCCAAATAAGAAGCAATGAAATCTTAATAGCACCCATGCACACATTTTGTTTATACTACATATTTGTCTTATCTTGTTTGTGTTTGGTTTGCCCAAGCTCCATTATATTTTTTCCATTTTAAATAGAATGAAACTGCTCATGCCAGGTTGGGATGTGGCAAATAGAACTCGTTAATGTTCCTGTTCATCCATTCATCCATTTATCTAGCCAGCACATGTTTATTGAGCACTGGGTGTAGGTGACATGGAAGGTTCAAGGGCTTTAAAGATGAAGCTAAGGTATTTTCTGTTATTGTCCAGAAGGAGAATGCCTTTCTATGTGCTCAGAGACATGGTGTTTTGTTCTGCGGTCTCCAAAACTTGATTTATAATCATTGCTTGGGTGAGGAATTGCTGAGTGGGCTTCATGATTATTTTACTTTGGATCTCTGATGTTATTGTTTTTCCTCTTTGCACAGTGTGACTTGGGACATTAGACTGTCCGGAGCATAGGCCTAGGCATTGTTGAATCTTGGTTTCTTTCCATCAGAGATTTAATTAAAACAATTGATATTTGAGGATTATGTTATTCAACTTTTTTCCAGGATAAGTGACCAGTATATATGATAAACAGATAAATATATGATTGTAGAAATGTTACTTTGCACTATGAAAAAAATACATGTTGTTCTATATTCAGAATGTTCGAAGTTGATCATGAGTTTGAAACAGATATTAACATAATCTTATATATTTCTTCCCATAGTTGGATGTACTGGAGTATATACATGAAAATGAATATGTTCATGGTGATATAAAAGCCGCGAATCTACTGTTAGGTTATAGAAATCCAGATCGGGTAAGTACGGTATTAAGCTTCTGCTTCCAGTAAGGACCCTCACAGTATCATACTGAGACATTAAAAAAAATCACTCTCCTAACCCGGAAGAGTTTACAAATGAGGATTAGCATGATGAATGTTGTGATTGATCTTACCTTGTTTATCTCATTTAATGCACTAAAGTAAAACGTACCTAGGATGGGGAAACTGAGACTCAGAGGGATTTAAATAATTTGTTAATGGACCTATAGTTAAGTGGCTGAAACTTGAACTTCTGAGCGACTATGAACAAAGGACTATCAAAATCCAGTGGGAGAAGGGATGGATTTGTGCAGAGAAAAAAAAATTAAAAGTCACAGTGGCTCCTGTTTCACTGTATAAACACTTAAGTTTTAGAGCAGCATTTGCACAGGAACTTTTTCTGATGATGGAAGTATTCTGTATGTTACTATCAGTATGGTAGCCATTAGCCACAGTGGCTCTCAAGCCCTTGAAACGTGGGTATGCTGAAAAAGATGTGGAGCAACAGGGACACTCATTCATTGCTGCTGAAAATGCAAAATGGTATACAGCCACTGCGGAAGACGATTTGGCGATTTCTTTAAAAACCAAACATATTCATAACATATAATCTGCAATTACGCTGCATGGTATTTACCCAAAGGAATTGAAAATTTACATCGACACAAAAACCTACACACAGATGTTTATAGCAGCTTTATTCAAAATTGCCAAAACTTGAATCAATGAAGATGTCCTTTAATAGGTGAATGGATAAATAAGCTGTATTACATCCTAGCTATGCAGTGTCACTCAATGTTAAAAAAGAAATGAGCAGTGAAGACATGAAAAGACATGGAAGAACCTTAAATGCATATTACTGAGTGAAAACCTGTATAATTCCAACTCTGCAACATTTTGAAAAAGGCAAAACTGTGGAGACACGAAAAAGATCAGTGGTTGCCAGTGGTTACACTGAGGATTTTTAGGGAAATGAAACTGTTCTGTATGATATTACAGTGGTGGAGACAGGTTATACATTGTCAAAACCCACAGAATGTTCCACACCAAAAGTGAACCCTAATGTAAACTATATAGATTTTTGGTTATAATGATGTGTCGCCGTGTAATGAATGTAGGTTCATCCATTGCAACAGATATAATACTCTGGTATGGGATGTTGATGGTGGGTACAGTGGGTATATGAGAACTCACTGTACTTCAGTTTTACCTCAGTTGCTCTAAATTTACCAAAATTGAATCTAAAATTCCTCTAAATGAGTCTTTAAAAATGTGACTGTGTGGCTGAGGAACTGAATTTTAAATTTAACCTAATTTTAGTTAATTATTAATTATTTTTAAAATTTGACTTTGCTTTTACCACCTAGCTTTATCAAGGTATGACTGACAAATGAAAATTACACTATACACAAATATTAACTCAGCATGGACTAAAGATTTAAGTGCAAGACCTAAAACCACAAAACCAGAAAAAAAAAAAAAGGAAAAAGTTTAATTTCAATTAATTTAAATTTAAGTAACTCTGTGTGGCTAGTAGCCACTCTACTGGACAACAGAGATTTCAAAAGTGAAGAAATTGAGTGTACAATTTTTTTTAAATTATAGTTGAATATTTAACTGAACTTTAGATGAGGAAAGAAATTTCTAAGTAATGGTACAGAAGAAAAAAATCTTAGAAAGTATTGAGAATTTCACATTTTAAAATGTCTACATTAAAAAATGAGGAAAAAAGAAAGATAAATGAACTGGGAAGTATATTTGTGGCAGATATTTGGGGATACATCTAGTAGACTTGAAAAAATTAGTAAGAAAAACACCAAACATTTTCTTAATAATTGAATGAACAGATAGAACATAGAAATACAACTGTCAGAATTGGATGAAAAAATGTTCACCATCACTAGAAAGAAGAGAGATGCATATAAAAACAATGAAGTATCATTTTAAAAGAACTTCTCAAATTGGAAAAGCCTGAAATAATAATCTGATGATATTGAGGCTGACGAGGGTGCAGGGACGTGTAGAATGCCAGCGGGAATGTAAATTCAGTAGGAGTAGAAGAAATTAAGTTAATGGAAGGGCAATTTGGCAGTATATTTAAAAATCCTTTAAAAGTCTGCATACTTTCTGTAAGGTTAGGTTTACTGAAGTATAATTTACAAACAGTAAAATTCACCCTTTTAACTACAGTTTGATGCGTTTTGACACACGTATGTCTCAGAACCACCATACAGTTGCGATATGGAGTGTTCCTGTCCTCTTCAAACTTTCTGTCCTCCCCCATTGCAGTCAGCCCTCATCTCTAGCCTGACCCCCACCCTGGCCCCTGGCAGTGATTTCTCCCCCAGGAGTTTTTGCATTTTTTAGGAATGTCATATAAATGGAATTATAGGACATACTCCCTTGTTCTTGGCTTCTTTCACCTAGCCTGATGTTTGTGAGCTTTACCCATGCTGTAATTCATTAGTAGTTCATTCTTCTTTAAAGATAGGTAGTTACCCATGGAAAACTACTACAGTTTATCTCTTTACCTGTTGGAGATTTATGTTATTTCCAGTTTGGGGGGCAATTATTAGTAAAGTTGCTATAAGCATTTGCGTAAAGGGTTTTGTGCAGACACATGTTTTAACTTCTGGGTAAGTAACTGGAAGTGGGCTTTCTGGGATCATAAGAAGTATACTTCCTCATGTTTAATTTAAAAGAAACAGCCAAACTGGTTTTCAGAGCGATGGTACTGTTATACATTCCCACCGGTGATGGGTAGTTCTCTACATCTTGCCACCGCTTGGTTTCGTTAGTTTTTAAAATTTTAGGATGCGTTGTCCTACCTAGTAGTCTTAATTAGTATCAGTTAGGTGATGACTAATGATCCTGAGCACCTTTCATGTAAGTACATTTGCCACTCTTTTCTTTGATGAATCAAGTGTGCCCATTTTTAAATCGGATTGCCTTATTTTAAGAGAGCTTTATGTTTTAAGGACAGGAACCTTTTGTCAGATACTTGTTTGCACATACTTTCTGCATTTGTAGCTTTTCTCTTATCAGTGTCTTTCAGAATGCAGATGTTTTTAATTATGATGAGGCCCAATTTATGATTTTTTTCTTTTATGATTTGTGCTACTTATAAGCCAGGCTCACAAAATGTTTTCACATACATTTCCTTCAAGGAGTTTTATAGAGCTCTTAGGTGTAGATACCTCCTGACCTGTTTTAAGTTTGTATTTGGTGCAAGGGAAGGGTCTTTTTTGGGAGGAGAGGGGACACATATATGTGCTGTTGCTCCAACAATACGTTGAAGTGAACATCTTTTCTCCAGCAAATTGCTTTGGCTCCATTGTCAGAATTATTGACCATCTATGAATGAGTCTATTTCTGGATTCTCTATTATAGTATCATACAGTCAATATCACACTTCCATGGTCTCGAAGTTAGGTAATAGGAGCCTTCCAACTTTGTTCTTTTTTTTTTTTCAAAATTATTTGTGCTATTCTGGCTGCTTTGCAGTTCCATATGTAATATTTTAAAATCAGTTTGTCAATTTGTGCCCAAAAGCCTGCTAGATTTTGATTGAATTGTGTTGAACTGTAGATTAATTTGAGGGAATTGAAATCTTAACCATATGAGTCTTCTGACTAACTGCCAGGCTAATTCACTGGGAAATGAGTTGATCTTTTTAATATGCATCTTTATTTCTTTTGTTTTCATTTTTAACTTAAGAATTTTTTTTTTAATTTCCAAGGTAATTTGTTTTTTGACCCTGGGGTTATTTGGAATATGTTGTTTAATTTCCAAATATTTAGGTGTTTTCAAATTCCTCTCTATTCTTAAATTAATTCTGTTGTGGTCAGAGAACTACTCTGTATGATTTCTGTACTTTTAAGTTTATTGGGAATTACTAATGCCTCAGCGTATGTGCTAACTTGCTGACTATTTCATGAGCCCTTGAGGAGAGTATGTTTTCTGTTGTCTGTCTTGGGGTGGAGTGTTGGCTAAATGTCTGTTAGGTCCAGTTGGTTAAGTATTGAAATTTCCTAAATCCCCACTGAAAAGAGTGTGGAAACCCCCAATTATAATTATGGATTTATCTTTTTTTTTTTTATCCCATCGGTTTTTGTTTCACATGTATTAGAAGTCTATTATTGGGATACATGCTTAGGATTTTTATGTCCTCTTTATAAGCTGTCCCCTTTATCATTATAAAATGTGAGCTTTTATCTCTAGTAATATTTCTTGTTCAGAAGTCAACTTCATCGGTCATTAACATAGCCACAGAGCCTTTTTTTTTTATTAGTGTGCACGTTATATATCTTCTTCATTCTTTTAATCTATTTTGTCTGTACATTTAAATTTCTTGGAGATAGTGTGTTCATTTTGAGGCTATTTTTAAGCTTTGCTAAGATGAATCTATAGTAGCCTATACTCTGTGGATAGTTAATTCCAACTTCTATGCTGTGAAGTTCTGTGATTCCTATGGAATTACATGTGAGGACTTATTCTGGTTGGTCAAGAACTCCAAAAAAAAAAAAAAAAAAAAAAGCTGAAGGCTCTTTGTAAGCCCTGGGAATGATTCTTCTCTTTACTCCTCATTGGTTCTTTGTTCCAACTTTTATGCTAGAGATAAGATCCTTGTGCAGATTTTTCTGGAGGCCCCCTTGCCTTGTAGCCTCTTCTTCTGAACTTCTCTCTGGAATTTGATGCTCTTTAGGAGCCTTTCTGAACTCAGGCACTCTCCCAGTGTGATTGCTATAAGGCAGTTAGGATTTCCCTTCCTGTGCCTGGGTTTGGAATTGTCACAGGCTGAAAGCTGGGGCATCTGTGGGACTCACCTAATCTTTTTTTCCCCCATTTTCACAAGGATTGCTCAGTCTTGTGCTGCCTATTTAATACTCAAAAGCAATTGTTATCTTTCATTTTACCCAGTTTCCCACAGGCAGTGAAAGTGTAAATCTAGTCATTGTATTCCTTTTTGCTGAAAGCAAAAAAGGCTAGTTTTAAAT